CCTCTCCCCCTCCTTCTCCCCTCAAGGAGCACTCTCCCCAGGCCGTCCTCTCACTCGCCCCTCAATTCCCCTCACGTCCATTGCTTCGGAGTCACGTGTCCCCTCGCTACCTTCTCTATAAACTTCCCCCTCACGAGAGCCCTCGACGGGTGAATGAGGGGAAAGGGACGGAGGGACAGCATCGACGTGCGGCCCCTCCCACTTCTTCCGTCCACTTACCTCTTTACCGCTCGCCGCGTCCCTCACCGCCCTCACCTGCCACGCCCCCCTCGCCCCCCTCGCCGTCAGTGGCCCCCCCCCCCCTCGCCCGTCAGTGGCCCCCCCCTTCATCCGCCGCACGGAAATATCTCATGAATTGAATATCTTTTTACTTGCATTCCTTCCTCATTCTACCTTCTGTTTCGCTTTCCGTGTTGAAATATTTCGTGCTTCCTTTCATAATCAATCATCTTCCTCCTTCATTTTTTTTCTTTTCCTCCTTCATTCCCGCGTTGAAAATTATTTCACCTTCCTTCATAATCTTTTTTTTTTTTAATCCCTTTCATGCTTCCTCCCTCCATTTTTCTTTCTTCCTTCCCTTCCGTGATTTGAAATATTTCCCCTTCCTCATAATCCCTTCATTGCTTCCTCCTCATTTTCTTCTTCCTCCTTTTCCCTTTTCCCTGTTTTGAAATATTTCCCCTTCCTCATAATCCCTCACCTCTTGTGCTTTCCTCTTCTCAAACGTCCCTTTCCGTGCTTGAAAATATTTCCCCTTCCTCATTAAATCCCTTTCATGCTTCCTCATTTCTTCCTTCCTTTTCCCTTCCCCTGTTTGAAATATTTCCCTTTCCTCTCATAATCCCTCACTTTGTTGCTTTCCTCTTCGTAAAACTCCCTTTCCCGCCTGTTAAATATTTTCCCCTTCCTTCATAAATCCCTCATGCTTTCCTTCCTCATTTCTTCCTCCTTCCCTTCCTTTCCCGCGTTTGAAATTATTTCCCCTTCCTCATAATCCCCTTATGCTTCCTCCTCATTTTCTTCCTCCCTATCCCTTCCCGGACGTTTGAAATATTTCCCCTTCCTCATAATCCCTCATGCTTCCTCCTCATTTCTTCCCCTCCTTCCTTTCCCGCGTTGGAAAATATTTCCCCTTCCTCATAATATCCCTCACTTTTGTGCTTTCTCTGTCGTAAACTCCCTTTCCGTGTTGAAATTATTTCCCTTCCCTCAAATCCCCTCCCACTTTGTGCTTTCTCTTGTAAACTTCCCTTTCCCGTGTTGAAAAATATATTTTCCCTTCCTTCATATCCCTCATGCTTCTCCTCATTTTCTTCCTCCTTCCTTTCCCGCGTTTGAAATATCCCCTTCCTCATAATCCCTTTTATCTTTTCCTCCCTCATTTTTCTTCTCCTTTCCTTTCCCGGCGTTGAATATTTCCCCTTCCTCATAATCCCTCATGCTTCCTCCTCATTTTCTTCCTCCTTCCCTTCCCGTGTTGAAATATTTCCCCTTCCTCATAATCCCTCACTTTGTGCTTTTTCTTCTCAAACTTCCCTTCCCGTTGTTGAAATATTTCCCTTCCTCATAACTCCCCTCTTTATGCTTCCTCCCTTTCTTCCTCTTCTCCTCCTTCCGCCCGTTGAAATATTTCCCCTTCCTCATAATCCCTCATCTTTTCCTCATTTTCTCTTACTTCCCTTCCCTTTGAAAATATTTCCCCTTCCTCATAATCCCTCACTTTGGGCGTTCTCTTCGCACACTTCGTCTCATGTTCTGGTCACTTAAAGACCCCTTGAACATGCCCGGTACAAAAGCATTACACTCTCTTATTTGCACAATACGTTTTTGTTTGTGTGGCGGGCAGGTCCATACACTGTACACATATATTTTTGATGGATGGGAACGGCGTGGCTTAATTTATGGTATTCTTATTATTTACATATTCTTTTTCTTTTTCTTTTTCTTTTTCTTTTTTCTTTTTCTTTTTCTTTTTCGTTTTTCGTTTTCTTTTTTTTTCTTTTCTTATTCTTTTTCTTTTTCTTTCTTTTTCTTTTCTTTTTCTTTCTTTTTCTTTTTTTTTTCTTTTTCTTTTTTCTTTCTTCTTCTTCTTTTCTTATTATTATTATTATTATCATTATTCCGTTTGTTATGCAATGCGAATGGCTTCTGCTTCACATACGGTTGGTATGTAATATTGATCCTTAATTCTTGTCAACATTAGAGACAATACCAGAAATCACTACAATATGCATTAAACAGAGATTTATCATTTTATAGAGTGGTATTGATCGTGTATGATTCTTATGTTGTCCGAGAGAGAACAAGGAGAGGAGAGATAGAGAGAGAAAGAATGAAACAGAGACAGAGACAGATGGACACACAGAAGAGAGAGAGAGAGAGAGAGAGAGAGAGAGAGAGAGAGAGAGAGAGAAGAGAAGAGGAGAGGGAGAGAGAGGAGAGAAGAGAGAGGATGAGAGAGACGGAGGTAGAAATAGAGACAGAGCAGATATGGAACACGCAAGAGAGAAGAGGAGAGAGAGGGAAGAGAAAGAGAAAGAAAGAACAGAGGACGAGAGACAATTGGACACACAGAAGAGAGAAAGGAGAGGAGAGAGAGAGAAAAGAGAGAGAGATGAAGGAGAGACGAGAGAGAAGAGAGAGGAGAGAGAGAGAGGAGAGAGAGAGAGAGAGAGAGAGAGAGAGAGGAGAGAGAGAGGAGAGAGAGAGAGAAGGAGAAATAGAGACAGAGGAGATGACACACAGAGAGAGAGAGAAGAGAGAGAGATGGAGAGAGAGAGAAAGAAAAAAACAGAAACAGAGGCAGATGGACACACAGAAGAGAGAGAAAGAGAAAGAGAGAGAGAGAAAAGAAGAAAAGAACAGAGACAGAGGCAGATGGACACACAGAAGAGAGAGAAAGAGAGAGAGAGGAAGAAAAAGAAAGAAACAAAACAGAGACAGATGGACACACAGAAGAGAGAAAGAGAGAGAGAGAGAGAAAGAGAAAAAAAGACAGAGACAGATGGACACACAGAAGGAGAGAGAAGAGAGAAAGAGAGAGATAGATGAGAAGAGAGAGAGAGAGAGAGAGAGAGAGAGAGAGAGAGAGAGAGAGAAGAGACAGATGGAGAGACAGCAGAGACAGATGGACAACAGAAGAGAGAAAGAGAGAGAGGGAGAGAGAGAACAGAGACAGAGACAGGACAGGGGACACACAGAAGAGAGAAAGAGAGAGAGAGAGAGAGAGAGAGAAAGAAGAACAGAGACACAAAGAAGAGAGAAAAGAGAAGGAGAAAGAAAGAAGAGAAGAAACAGAGACAGATGTACACAGAGACACACAGAAGAGAGTTAGAGAGAGAAAGAAAGAAACAGAGACAGGAACAGATGGACACACAGAAGAGAGAAAGAGAAAGAGAGAGAGAGAAAGAAGGATTGAATATTCTCTATGATACCAGTCAGTCCATAACTCCAACTAGCCGTCAACTCTACATATAAAACTCTCTCATTTTCATTATTTATGGCCTTTGTAACTATTTCCTGTAAGTTTGTAACGAAAGAGACATTGATTTTATTTTTGCTATTTTTCCTCTATATTTCTACTTTAAGCTTTGTCTTCTCTCCCTCTTTTCTTCATCTTTTTTATATTTGATGATGATGAGAAGTTAATGGAGATAAGGAAAAAGGATAACGATAATGATAATAACGATAACGATAATGATAATAATAATGTATGATAATGATATGATAATGTTAATGATATAATCATGTTAATGTTTAAATATATGATAATAATTAATGAATTGATGATATGATGATGATGATGATTGATTGATAATAATGACAAATGATATGATAATATTATGCGATGATGATAATGACAATAATGATGCTGATAATAATGATGATAATAATGATGATGATGATGATGATGATTGATGATTGATGATGGAAAGAAACACGCGATTTTATACATGCAGAAGCAAGGGCAATACATCTAAGCATGTACTGACGCAAACAGCTGTAGCCTTTAATCACCTATGAAGATTTACAGCCCAACATGAAGCAAATTCGCCCATTTTTCTTCACCCAATAATTATCAGTCGTTCATCTTTTATTTTCTGTTCTCTATTCCCTTTCCATCTTTTTCCATTATCTTGAAATGCTCACTCGTTCTTCCTTATCTGTTTCCACGCAAAATACAGACTTTGGTGTCTTGAATAAAAAAAAAATAAAATAAATAAATAAATAAATAAATAAAAAAATAATAAAAAATAAAAACTATACACGTCAGAAAGATTAAAGATCTGTGTGCATGTTTGCGTGCGTTAAGGTTCGTGATGGGTACGTTAGTGCGTGGACGTAAGTAGTGCATAACGTAGGGTGCGTCAATAAAATATACTGCGGTGGAATTACTTTTTTTTTTTTTTTTTTTTTTTTTTTTTTGCACTGGGATTTATAGAATGTCTCGTGTGGATATCACCCTCTCCATCTTTTCCCTCTCTCTCTCTCTCTCTCTCTCTCTCTCTCTCTTCTCTCTCTCTCTCTCTCTCTCTCTCTCTCTCTTCTTAAGCTCTGTGTTTCTAGTCTCTATTCTTTTTTTATTCGCTATCTATTGGCCTCTCTCTCTCTCTCTCTCTCTCTCTCTCTCTCTCTCTCTCTCTCTCTTCTCTCTCTCTCTCTCTCTCTCTCTCTCTCTCTTCTCTCTCTCTCTCTCCTCCCCCCTCTCTCTCTCTTCTCCCATTCTCCCTCACTCACACCCTTTCCCTCCCTCACTCCCTCACATCCTCACCCTCTCTCCCTCCCTCACTCCCTCTCCTTCTCTTTCTCCCTCTCCCCACATTCTCCTTCTTACACCCACTCTCACCCTCCCCCACCCCCACCCCATCTCTCTTTATCTGCCCAAGAGGAACTGCTTAAGATAAGACAAGTGAGGCAGCGTCTTACCAAAGAGTTATAGGACTCGAGGGAAAAGATAGGCCTATGCTCATATGATTGCTAGGCCAGAGTGACCATTCCAC